GGGAGTCTAGGTGTTGCAGGATGTAATGCAGTGCCATGTTCACTGCATCGTCCACTGACCTGTTTGCCCGGTAGGCGAACTGCAGGGGGTCTGTAGCACTGGGATGATGGTGAAGTGCGTGAAGCAAGAGGGGACTTCATACAGCTCCAGTGACCTGTTGAAGATGAGTGTGAAGATGGGGGCCAGCTGATCAGCACACACTTTCAGGAAGGAGGGGGTCACGCTATCTGGGCCTGGTGCCTTTCTGATCTTTTGGTTTTTAAAGAGGCCATGCACATCCTTTTCACAGATAGTTGGAGGTGAGGGGTGAGGGGCTGGAGGGAAGGGTGGTGATTGTCATGGGAGCAGCTGCTGGATTTGAGGTGGGGAGGGTGAGGGGGGAGTTCTGTTTGTCAAGCCTGCAGTAGAATACATTCAGGTCATCTGTTAGTTGACGGTCCTCCACAGCAGGGGGGAGGGTTTTCTAATGCCAGTGATGGTTTTCAGGCTCCCCCACACAGACGAGGGGTCGTTGGCTGAAACCTGAGCTTTCAGCTTTTCAGAATAGCTCCTCTTTCCTGCTCTGATTTCCCTTGTCAGTGTGTTCCTGCTTGAGTCTTGCTGTAAACCAGGGCTTGTTGTTGTTGTTGTATGTGCAGAAGGACTTTTTGTGCACACACACACATCCTCACAAAATCTGATATAAGATGTGACAGTGCCAGTGAGTTTGTCCAGGTCTGTAGCTGCAGTCTCAAATACACTCCATTCTTTGCAGTCAAAGCAGGCCTGTAGCTCTGACTTAGCCTCCTCAGTCCAGCTCTTCACTGTTTTGACCACAGACTTCACAGCTTTAAGTTTCTGCCTGTAGGTTGGAATATGATGGACCATACAGTGATCAGAGATTCTGAGGGCTGCATGGGGGACAGAGCGTCTTTTATTGTGTAGCAGTGTGTAGCAGTGGTCCAGTGTGACTTTATCCCTGGTGGGACAGGTGACGTGCTGTCTGTATTTGGGCAGTTCGTGGGTGAGATTTGCTGTTAAAGTCCCCTAGAACAATGAGTGGAGAGTTGGGATGTTCTAGCTCCACGCTAGTTATTAGTTCTGCCAGGAGCTGTAGTACGCTAGCATGGACCTGCAGTCTTATATACACTTCGATTACAATGAAAGAGTTAAATTCTCAGGGAGAATAAAAGTTTGCAATTGATAAAGCGAGTCTCTAAATCAGTGTTACATGTTCTCAGGAGCACTATGACATCTGTGCACCAACCTTCATTTATGTAGAGACAGATTTCCCCTCCTCTCGTTTTCCCAGACAGCACTGTTACACGATCCACTCTGTACACCTGGAAGCCCAGTACTTGTATGATGCTGTCTGTGATGGACTCGCCAGGTCTCCGTGAAGCAGCCCCCTCAACCCCCTGTAACCTCACTGTTCCACTTCCCTCCCTCTCGTTCATACACATGTATTCTGTCTTACTACAACTGACTTTCATTCCTCTTCTTTC